TGTGGTATTTACGTTAGTCTTAAGATAAGTCCATTCTTCCATTTATTCACTCATGCATTTATTTATTAAGTAGGTATTAAGTACCTCCTCTATGCCAGAAATCATGCCAGAATCAAATGGGTTGTATTCAAATGGGCATGCAGCGATGACAGAACCTGTTATAGTTTCTACCATTACAGGTGCTGAGAATCTAGAGGGAAAGACAGATATTTTTAAAAGTAATGATAATGAGTGTACTACAAATATCAGGGGAAATACTTTGTAAAAGTATATGATTGTCTAACCACTATTCTGTATATCTGAAACTAACAAAAATATTATTGTAGGTAAACTATAATTGAAAAATAAAATTTAAAAAGAGCAAAAATAGTTATGATGATATCTGGGCTGACAGTTACAAAAGGAGCTATAAAGGGTGCTATATGGCAGGAACTGTATGTATGACAGGAGATAGGGCCCCCAGACTAGTTTGGGCAGCCATCAGTGAGATGCCCAAAGGCATAGAGGTTCTAAGGGCTTCCACAATCTCCAGCAGTCCCCTGCAAAGCCACTGCAAATAAATATATAACATAGATAAATGCAATATGCATGCAATGCACGGAAACTCTCAGACAAGACTTCTATCCCCACTCCCACATAGATTACTTCTTAAGCCTTTCCTTCAGAGGAACTCGGAGACTTCTACTACAAGGGAACTGCCTGGGCAGGGTCATGGAAGACTTGTCCGAGGAAGGAGGTTTCAGCTGAGATGTGACAAGGCATGGGTGGGGGTGGGGAATGTTTCCAGCACTTAGAAGAGTGTACACGTCCGTGGCCAGAGGAAGAGAGAGGCACCATGATGTTAAACCCACAGTAAGGCAACATTTACTGTTTTGGGTTACTCCAAACACAATCTGTTTGTAGTGATTTTCAGCACAAGATAAATTCAGGGTCAAAGTTTTACTTTGCTATATAGACATCATGACAATGGCTTAATTCCTGGGCTATGCTTTGGGAAATACACTTTTCTATAAGTATCAATCTTTTATTCAAAAGCCTGCATTAATGCGCATCCAGTCTACAATCCTTACCTTTTGAAAATATCCCCATCGAGGCTTGGATGCATTCAAAAGAGTTATAGAAAAGTGAATCTTTAAAATAGTCATTCATGACATAGATGACTTCTTGTTAAGATACAGACCATTTTTGTTAAGAAATTCAGCCTTTGTCTACCCTTTAATTATATTTTAGCAGCCTAAACCCTTCCCAGGAAAAATATAAAATGAAAACATAGCGAAATCAAATACCAAAATAATGGGGGGGGGTTGTTGACGTTTATTTTTCTAACTTAAACAATCATTAAAGATAATGGGATAGTAGCTATGATCAGGGCTGGCTCAGGGAACATTGATTACTGAGTGGAATTCAGCATAAAGCAGTTTCCTCTTGGACATCACCCAACTACCTTCTGAAAGTAACCAAAGACACCGTCCTCTCTGAGACACGCCTTTAGCATGTACCACAGTAACAGCATTGAGCACTATCCCAGCTGCCAATATGAACTGATAAACTGTTGACTAATGTTCCCAGGAGCTGCATTGAATGCCACCTGTCGGCAGATGACCAGGCCCGAGAAGAGTGTGTTGACAAATGCAAACTAGCTGGTGTGACCATCAATGAAGAAGAAGGTTCTGCTTGTCTTAAATTGCTTTCCTTTTCTTTGCGTAGTTCTTGAGAGGCACAAATCTGTGGTGGGCTTTCCAATAGCTGGGCTTCATTTGTACCGGGCATTCGTTGCCTCATATTAGTTATTAAGGGGAAATGTATTCCATAAGGCTAAAAACCTGGTGGTTGGGGATACAAGACATTTAAAGTCACGGCTATTATATTTGACGTCACTGTGGGCAAGTTCACCGCTCCTTAACACAGCGGTTCTCAACCTGTGGGTCGCAAACCCTTTGGTGGTCGAACGACCCTTTCACAGGGGTCGCCTAAGACCATCCTGCATATCAGATATTTACATTACGATTCATAACAGTAGCAACATTACAGCTATGAAGTAGCAGGGAAAATAATTTTATGGTTGGGTCACAACATGAGGAACTGTATTTAAAGAGCCAGAAGGTTGAGAACCACTGCCTTAACAGATACAACTGTAGAGAATTCCAGAACGCTATATTGTTTGAATTAGAAGGAAGAAAATTGAAGAAATATCTAAATGTTAACCCCCAAGCCTGAAATTGTCCCCTACTATCCAACTGCTGTATTTCAAAATAGGACAAAGCAAGGTATACGATGGGCTTCCTGACAGAGCCCTCAGACACTGGGCAGTTTCTGATTAGTGGACTGATTTTCTTCCTCTCCCCTCTGTATGCTCTTACTCCCAATTTCCAAATATGGGCTCCACATGATCATCTTTAATTCCCTGTTGTCCCACTCTCAAAATATGAGAAGGGCCTGTTACCTTTAACTGCTTAGCAAGCCCAGCTCTTGTTTTCACCTGTCATTTTAAAACATAATTACTTAAAATTATATCTTTCCTCATGGCAAATTGACATCTCAAATATTCAAATGGGTTGTATTTTAGCTGGGAAAAATAATTTGTGAACAGTAAGACAAAGAAGATGACTGACTCCTCCCAAAAGGACAGTCTGGGGGGACTGGTGTTTCCCCCACCACACACTCTGCATTATCATGCTGCTCAGCTGAACGGCTGCTCTGCACACTCTACAGACGCCAACAAGATGCATCCCAGGCGAAGTGGTGTAATCAAGACAATAATTCATGACATGCTAGGATATGTGTCTTGAATAGATGGAATCAAAATACCAAAATTAATCCATTTCCAAGGAGGAATAAGTTAGTGAAATTTACTTTTTTTTTTTGGAAAATTACCTACATTGTTTCAAACTTGAGATCTCTGACTGTGCACCGTTGAATAACCCTAGGTGGAGGGGCATGATCGGTGCTCATAAAACCCCTCGTCTGTGTTTTTTCTGGTAACTAAAAAAATATGCCAAATAGCCGCAAATTGGACAAAACGGTGTATACCTTACACCAACCCGAAGGTGAGATGCTGTGAAAGCACTGAGGAAAGCGGCATTTGGGGGCTGCCCGCATTAGTAACTAGTACAAATCTCAGCATATCCTCCTGGCTTCATTTCACACCAACCATCTGGGATATTTACCGGATATTTCCAAGAAATGACTAAAAATTGCAGAAAATGCCTTGCAAATGACTAGAACCCTATGCAGGAGCAGCCGGAGAAATCTAATGTGCTGAGGGGAAAAGGAGAGTGAGCCTTGGAGTTACCATATTTAAATACACAGTTTTCTAAGTACATTTTCGTACGTGCTTAGATTTGAGGGGAAGACTACATCTCAAGTGGCATTTAAAATATTTGCATTATTATTTTTTGTGTACTCGACTACATTATCTTCAAAAGAGGGGAATGCAACTATTTCTAAAATTAAAAACAATAATTGCATTTCTAATACCATTGAAAAGCACTAATCTCAATGAATTTGAGAAAAATGTGTATTTGTTAACCTGTGAGTTAAAAAGTCATTTTTCTAACGAGCCTGTTATAAGTCTATTTCAAGTTACTCACCCAGTTATGTTATTGATCATATCACCTTGAAATTATCACAACATACTTGTTCTTCCACGGGGTCTTTATCAGCCCTTCCTTCCCCAACTAGGACAGGGAGGGTAACGTAAGTATAACTTTATCATCCAAATAAATTGTTCCCCAGCTGTGCTGTCGTGAGCATTTCCAAGGACATGCAGTTCAATTTCATTCGACCCATTTTGCTGAAAGAGACATTATTCATCTACCCCAACAGTCATGTACTCAGAGCTTTGTTGCTCAAACCGTGTTCCATAGGACACTAATTCCCAACGTGTTACATGGGGAACTACACACCCATGGTCATATGCATTTTGGAAATGGGAAGCTATACCTTTTGTTTCCTTAAAGAACTCCTGAGAGTTCCTCTGCACATGACATTAAATGTACGTTGCAAATTGTCAGGAGAGGCAAAGGGAGGTTACTGTATTTAAATACACTGTATGTTAAGTACGCAGTTAGCGACCACAGAAGCCGTGTTTTCTGCTTGGGAAACTGTTTCCTCTGAGAACTACTGACGTGGCCTCGGAGCAGAGGTCTTAAACACACAGTTATCTTGATTCAGTGGTGCCGGCGGTTTTGTTTTCCACATTTTTCCTACACCCCAGGCTCCTCACCCCATTCTCACATTTCTTCCTTTTCTAAGTATGATTTCATGGACTGCCTGAGATCTTATTTTCCTTGTATTATTCTAGCACAGCGCTGCTGACACTCATAAAGGTGGGGGGAGAAGAAAGGTCCATTTCTTATGAACAACAAAAGAAAACCTTAGCAGCTAATTATGCAAATCTCCAGCCCAAGCTGGACCCTTTCACTGCACATTCAATAATACCATTTTAATACCCAAACACTGTGAAGCGGGCCAAGTCTAAAGTCATCACCGTCATGAAAAGGACTGGTGAAGTAATTAAAGCAAGAAGGGAGTCATGACTCAAAGGTCATATTAGCAGTTCCATTAAAACTTAAATAATCCTGGCCAAGTAAATTAAGCCTCCCTGTGCTTCGATGTAGCTATTTAAAAGAAAATAAAAAAGCAGGATTAATATTACTGAAAGGAGTATTATAAGCTATCCACATATTTTCTACCTGAGAATAAAATGTTCCATTAAGTAAACTCAAGAGGAACAGAGTGGGTTTGCGCTGTGGTGGTGGAGAGAGGGAGGGAAGGAGAAAAACAGTCCGACAGGAAACGGCATACTCCCCAAGGCTGGATGAATCCTAGTTCACCGAATGGTGTGGCAGAAGGATGTGTGTTGAAGGCCATCGAAAAATAACCAAAGTATGAATTCTATACAGACAGTTCTGTTGGTATCAAACATAGGAAATAACACAAATTTCAATATCAAGTGTTGCCCAGAGGTTCCCAAACCTCTTAGTTAGAACCACCTTATTAAAAATACTATCAAGCAACTCACTCAAATACAAATGCCTGTGTATACCAATGACCTCCCAAATCAGAATGGCCAAAGGCAGGGCCCTGAAATCCATATTTCCAGAACTCACAGGTGATTTAGACAATCAAACATTTAGGAATGACCAAATTCGAATGATTTGTAATTAGATTTCTTAATATTCCTGTGTGCATAGATGCTTCTAATGGATTCAAAAACACCTAAACCTATCATTGAAATCTTAGTAATAATGCTAAAAGTTTTACTAGTCTCTGTTTTAATAGGTAATACAGGCATGCTTCTCACAGACCCTAATGTGAGATTTTTATCTTAGAGATTGAATGAAAAACAGCTTATATATTTCTGTCTTTCTGAGTAAGGCAATGCTGAACAACAACAACAAAAATCCTATTACTTTTTTTTTGTTAGAGTCAGAGCAACACATATAGATTGTTTCATTAAAACCTTCTTTTATATTTAAGCCACTGAGAAAAGTTATAGTCTAGCAAGAGTACATCCAAGATTTTCTGGGACAGTCCCATTTTAATATTCTGACCCACTGAGTCTTAGTACACTAAGACTGGATTTGTTTTTAAATTTTAGGTTAATAACAAACAATCATTCTATTTACATGTTTCTGTAAAAGTGTTTGTAACTATATCAGTAAAAAGTCTCCAACTTGTAAGATAGGACAACTTGAAGCAAGTTGTGTTTTAGTTGGGAAAATGCTACATAATTTTGGCATAGATGCAGGACTAGAATCTCTGATAAATAGTATTTACATCTCAGATTGACCATTTTACTGTATTTCCAATTTCTGATATGACATTCATTTTCTGCTTCTTGAATAAGCTCAGCAAGAAAATAATTTCTATTTGGAAAAGATTTAAGGAAAAATTGATTTTTTTTTAAATTAAGAAAGGGGCTATGCTGAAGGGTCAGTCAAACTGTTATCCTTGGTTCTTTTTATCTGAGCTTTACCTTTATCTTGCTGGTCCCTGAGCTACATAACAGTCTCTGTTTCCTGATATTAATATATATTTATTGTTGTGACACGGCGTGGCCAGCAATCCTCACTAGGGCATTGTGAGAAAGCCCCTCCCCCAACCCCTTAGAAGTATCAGTATCAGTCTGGACTGTGCAGTCTCTTTCTGAAATGTAATCTAGGCTTCCTCCCAGATGCTCGCAGCCAAGGAGAACATAGAACCCCCTCATTACCATAATCAGGGCCATTCTATTCCCAAGACAACTAGGCATACCTGTCTTGAAGTACTTTTACTCTATTGCAGTGGTTCTCAACCTCGGCTGCACATTAGAATCACCTGGGAATCTTTTTAAAATCCTGATTTCTGGGCCTCATACTTCGGAAATTCTGTTTCTTTGTTACTAATGTTGTGGCCCCACCCCATAACAAAGAAACAGAATTTCCGGAGGATGAGG